AGAGGCATGAAAGCTTGGGATGAAACTCTGCCTGAGGAATTCATTAACAGGTGGGATGAATTAATTGGTGATTATGAAAAAAATCCAATGTTGGAGTTCCCACACCAGGTGGCCAATCCAGAAGGGAAAAATATACTCCACATTTTTGTGATGCTTCAAAATTGGCATATGGAGCAGTTGCTTACCTTCAATGTAATAGTGTTATTTCTCTTGTTATGTCTAAGGCTAAAGTGTCTCCAATTAAATTACATACCTTACCTCAGTTGGAATTAACAGCCATTTATGTAGGTGTCAAATTAGCTAATTATATAAGAAATAAGTTGCAGGAGATAAATATTAGCAACACTGTAATTTGGTCTGATAATGAGGTATCCTTACAATGGATTCGTAATGGAAACAGTAAAATTGTGTACGTACAAAACAGAGTCGCTGAAATTAATCAGATGCAAGAGAAGCATAATAGTTTGGGTTAGCATATGTTAACATTTAATCATATACCTGGTGAGGAGAATCCAGCTGATTTCTTGTCTCGAGGTTTACCTTATGCTAAATTTGTAAATGCTGTATCATGGTTTAAAGAACCAAGCTGGTTGGTAAATAAAGCTAATTGGCCTGTAAAAGGCGTATATTGCTCCTGTTGAAATTACTGTGACCACTGCTCCAATAGTTTGCCCTTCCTTAGCCATTGATATAAATAGGTATTCTTCTTTATCCAAACTAATCAATGTAACTAACATGGTGTTTAAATTTCTAATCAAGAGGAATATCTCATATAAGTTTTCACATCCTCTTGAATATTGAATTCAGTGGGTACAAGAAGAAATCTGTGGATATGAGATTAAACTAATGATGGAAAGAAAAATTGTGAAAGGTTCTACAATAGAGAAATTGGGGCTGTATTTAGAGAACAATATAATTAGGTGCAGAGGTAGGTTATAAAATGCTGAATTGGGTAATTATGCTAAACACCCTATCTTACTGCCCAAAAATCATCATCTAACAAATTTAATTGTTTTAAATGCCCTAAAAATGTAATGCATGGTGGGGTACAAGATACCTTAAATTGTATTAGGGAAACTTTCGGGATTCCACAAGGACGGCAAAGTGTAAAAAGGGTGATTAAATCTTGTGTAATATGTCGCCGTGTGGATGCCAGATCCTATATGTACCCAGGTCCTCCACCATTGCCAAAGGAGTGTGTACAATTAGTGAAACCATTTGATGTAAGAGGTGTAGACTATAGTGGTCCAATCATTTTAACAGGTACTTCAGATGGCATTCCACTGAAAGTGTATGTATGCTTGTTCACTTGTACTGCTACTAGGGCAGTTCACTTAGAAGTGGTTCAGGACTTGTCTGCAGAACAGTTTATACAGCTGTTTCGAAAACTTGCAGCTAGGAGATACTGTCCGAGATTGATGATTTTGGATATTGCCACAATTTTTGTAGCTGGTGCTCAACACTTGATAGAATTAAATAAGAGTAACGATATTCAATCTCTGTTAACCCAACGAGGGTGTACCTGGAAATTTATTGCTCCTAGAAGTCCTTGGCAGGGGGGGCTGTACGAAAGACTGATAGGCACAGTGAAGAGGTGTCTCCGTAAAGTACTACACGGGAAGAAAATTAATTTGGAGGAATTCCATGCAGTGTTAGTGGAGGTGGAGAATCGTATAAATAATAGGCCTCTCTCATACATGAGTGATACACCTGATGCAGATGTATTAACACCTTCTCACCTAATATGTGGAAGGAAAATGGAAGCTGCCCCTCTCTATAGAGATAATCTGGAAGAAAGTGATGAAGATTACAATGGTACGGCAGTGTTGTGTGATAAATTTAAAATGTTAAATAAGGTAATTGATCATTGGTCTAATGTGTGTGGCATAAGGAATATCATCTTACACTACGTGAACACTTTTATGGTGCGACAGAGGCAGTAAATCGACAGAACATACAACCAAGTGACATTGTGTTAATTGATACTGAACAACATTGAACATTGTGGCCTCTGAGCAAAGTATGGACATTGTACCCAGATGAACAAGGTGTTGTCCGGAATGTCAAATTGTTGTGTCATGGCCAGGAAAGTTTACACACAATTAATGAATTGATTTCCTTAAAATTAAATGGTATTCAATCAATCGTAAATGAAAATCTAAGGGAAAGTGACACGAGTGATATTGAAGGTAATGCTGACCAAGTGATGCAGGAAGATGAAATTGTAGTAAGACCTACTAGGAGAACAGCCACTCAAGCCAGAACCAGTTGGAATCATCTCCTACAGGAAGGAGTAATTTGAGTCGTTTAGCAACGACCTCTGCCCTGCTGCAGTGTGGAAAATAATTTTCCCAAAAATTATGCTGTATATTTTAATAATGTAAATATACCTGATTAATACATTACTATTGCTTTAAAGAGTATTTTAAAGAAGAGAATCGACAGGGAATCTCTGCGCCTGCGCTGACGAGCAGGGGAAGAGACGCCATTGTTTTTTAATGTAAAAGGCACGCTAATGAAATGTGCATAATTTTCGTCGCTCTAGGGGTTATATTGGGCATAAAACCTCTCAAATACGAGCTGAAATTGTTGGATTTGCAGTCCTGCATAATGTGAGCATTAAGCAGATAAACAGGACACCTGTAACCTTGATAAAGAATAATTATCTTTGTTACCATTTACTGGTATGTATCTTATGAGTTACATCCAGGTAAATTTAATTTTCCACATGTGACATATTTTACTGAAATTTAGCTAAATTAAAATAAATAAAAAATCAACAGTAAGTTTTCTTGATGTGCTAAGAAATTTACACTTGGCAAATCGTGAGGAAACTGACTTTGTATGAGAACACATTGATGTGTGTTGTTTACGCTTTCTCCACTCACACTTCATCTTCACACACACACACACACACACACACACACACTGGCACTTAAGTCAGAAATGATTCAAAACAAAATCCTGCAGTCAAAGTAACTGTTAAAGGATTCCAACGAATATCAACGAATGTACCTCGACCTTGACAGAACACAAAAATAAAGCAAACAACTAAGAGAAAGAGTAAGAATGCCCCAGAGGCAGGAAAAGAGTACATTACAGCAGACATGGTTTACCAGAAGGTGTGGAGGACCAGAGTATGAAAAAAGTATAGAAGGAAAAAAAAACAGGAATACAGGGAGTTGAGCTGAAAAGCCAGAAATGAATATGCATGGATAAGGAGAGAAGCCCATCAGATGAAAACAAAAAAGGAAGGATCAGGTAATCAGGCTGAGGAAGGAGGGGAGCTCACAGAGAAAAACCAGGAAGTATGTGAAGAGGTCAGCCCATGATTCAGGGAGGTATTCACAGTGAAGAAAGAGAGGCTTCCAGCAAACCGAGGTGGAAGGGTGCACCAGCAAGTCTTGGACACACACTGCATACAACCGAGGAGGAGATGTAGAAACTGCAATGTGAACTATAGATACTTCGAAGGTGGTGGGCCCAGATAATCTCTCTCCTTCGGTCCTGAGGGAGGGAGCAGATGCATTGTGTGTGCCTCTAACAACATTCCTCAATAAATCTATCGAAACAAGGTACCTGATTTCTAAGAAAGGAGACGGACAAGTTGCACTAAATTACCTACCAGTGCCGTTGACATGTAAAGTTATGAAGATTTTTTATTAAGAGAGTGGTGGAGCATCTAGAAAGGAATAAACTAATACATGACAACCAATGCAGCTTCAGGGAAGAGAAATCCTACATCCTATTAGAGTTCTAAGACAAAGTATCTTTTAACAAGGCTTTCGACACAGAACCACACAAGAGACTGGTTGAAAAACTAGAGGAGAAGGAAGGAATAGGAGGGAAAGTTCAGCAATGGATCAAGAAATACCTGATTGGAAGAAAAGGACTTATATCGGTACGAAACGAGGTACCAGAGTGGGTGCATATATCGAGTGGGGTTCCACAAGGGTCAGTTCTAGGTCCAGTGCTGCTTCTTGTATATGTGACTCACATAACAGAAGGGATAGTATCAAAAGAGTCCCTGTTTGCAGACGATGTGAAGCTAATGAGGAGAATGTAAAAAGGACGAGGACCACATAAGCCTACAAGGGGATCCAGACAAGCAGCAAGCATGGTCAGACAAATGGCTCCTGGAGTTTAACCCAAGAAACTACAAAGCTACGAAGCTTCGGGAAGGACAAAAGAGGTGGCAGAAGGGGTACAGCCTAAGAGGTCAGAGGCCTTAGGATCTTGGGTTGAGCATCATACCAAGCATATCTCCTGAGGTGCACATCAACCAAATAACTGCTGCAGCATACTGACACCTGGCAAACCTGAGAATAGCGGTTCGACATCTAAGTAAGGAGTCATTCACAACACCGTGTACCTCAGGCCCATATTGGAGCATGTAGCACCAGTATGGAACCTGGTCAAACAATTTAAGAAATTAAAGAAAGTTGAAACCTTTGCAACAAGACTAGTCATGGAGCTGAGGGATTTGTCCTACGAGGAGAGGTTAAGGCAACTCATCCTGATAATACTGGAGGACAGGAGGAATAGGGATGACATGATAACATATAAAATACTAAGAGGAATCGAAGAGGTGGGCAGGGACAGAATGTTTCAGAGGTGTGACACAGCAGTAATGGGTACTTCCTAATATCTTTGTGCCTCATATGAGTCACAGGGATGTTAGGAAATACTTCTTCAGTCATCGAGTTGTCAGGAAATAGAACAATCTGCAGAGTGATGTAGTGGAGGCAGGATCCATACATACATAACTTTTAGAAGAGGTATGATAAAGCTCATGGAGAAGAGATAGAGTTCATCTATAAGTGAACAGTGAAGGATCCAGGAGCTATGAATCGACTCCTGCAGCCACAATTAGGTGAGCACACACACAGACACATTCGTCACTTGCATAACACTAACAAATAAAGTAGGCAGAATTAATTAGGTCGTTGAAGTTCAATATTAATAAAACCCAGATACTGTAGACAGTGAGAAGTCATTACCTGGATCTCTGGGTAACAACCAATCAAATAGAGTGACCAGTTGATAGCAGCAGCTGTAGTGTCGTGACCTTCAAACATAAATGTATCAACCTCCTCACGAAGGTCACTTATCAGAGACCAGTTAGTTCGCTCTAGTAATCAACAACAGGTACCAGATATGCAGCGGCTTCCAGTTCCTGAATTTAAGAAAATTAACGCTATGAACTGCAAAAGATATATGGTAATTTTAACACAATTTTCCCACCCTTAATTTAAAATAAATGACATTCTTTAAATAAATGTTTGAACGAAATGTCACAAATGTTTCCAGAAAGAGTACAAGCAGAGATTACATTTTCACATATCTTATTCAAGTTTTGCCATCTATATAAAATTTAGGAAATTTTATGTTGAGTTAGGAAATAAAAATTATATGTATGAATCATCATACACTCTTTTCAAAAAGTCTTATGATAATTCTGAGAGACAACGGTCTCTATAATGAACAGTGAGCTCAACTATGAACACCCTGCACACATTAGGTAGCCCTACAGAATCTATCAAATAACTAAATAGCAGAATTTTAATTTGTCTTAATTCTTCCGTTTACTTGATCCACTATAAGTATTATGGATTTGTAACAAAATGAATTTAGATACATTATAAATTCTGTATTCGTGACTTCAACATAAATGTATCAATTAAACGATATATTAATCAGAAGTGCGAGAATTTGTTGTTGAGTACTCGACAACCCAAAGGGAATCCAAGGCTCTTCACCTAATGAGGCAGTACAAAGCTAGAAATGCAATCTTCGTTCCTTTGGTAGGACAGTGTTTTATTGACAATTTTTTGGTGATTCACCAAAATATTTTCCTAAAAGGGAAAACTCTCGGATGTTATACTTATTAGATTATGAAATTCTGTTTTATGCCTTCAATAAAGGTTATATTGCTGTGTAAAAGAATTGACTGTAAATGACCCTCTTTTCCTTGTCGAGGCCTTCCAATAAGATGAGCAGCTTCCCAGGAATGCAGTCTGTCAACGAATAATAATTTATTTATTACTTAATTATTATTATTAAATACTAATTTTTATTCTCTAGATTCTTAGATTAAGTATCCACTATAACTATTATAGTATTTATAGTAGATGAATTATATATTTTTAAGTTTCCCTTTTGTATTAACAGTAGAGGTTAAATCACGTTTAATGACATAGAAGTGGGGAATAATGTTGAAACTCGCATAAAACAACCCAAACATACCAATTACAACACACAGCATGTGTTCGAGTCCTTCTATGTTTCATTGTTATTGATCAAGACCACTCTGTTTGTATCATAATATAACCTAGAAATTTTATAACTCTCTGCTCCTTGCTTAGAGATTACTGAAATGTTTAGTGCCAAGAAAGGTGTGCTGTGAAGCATGCGGGAAAGTGCCCATTTTCCTTGGTGAAAGGTATGTAATATAAATTAGAGATATCATCCAAATCGTAAAATAACAATATTGAAAGAATTATTTGACTAATTATATTATTATTTTAGATGTAGGGAGAAAGTTGAATAAGTAGTTACAGTAGTAGTTTATTAATTAATATATTTTTAATATAATTTCTAAGATATTATCACTATACTTACAATATTCTATAATAAAAAAAAAGCAAACATTACTCTATCCCGTTATTAATACTTACGTGTTAATTCTAAGAACTAATAAATTTTAACAGGATCTGTACCTTATTCAAATCCTAAACAAATGTTACTGCACCCAAGGTTGCCATACGCAACTGAATCTATTGCATCCAATCCTATTGAAAGTATCAATTTAAATTAATTACCATCGAAAATACATTGTGAAAAAACTTGAAATTCTCGTATTCAGACAGTAGGAACATTAACCCCAGTACCTACACGAGATGTTTATTTACATCTTATTCCAAAAATTTCAAATACACTATATACTTCAAAAAAAAAGAACATACTATCATTATTTGTCCAAATAATTCTATACCAATAATATCAAAATAAACAATTATATAAATTTTTTTTATAATTGATGTGAACGTATTAATTATGAAATAAAACAATTGTACCATTCAAAGAGTTAATAATTAATAATTTTAAGAAGTATAATACCAATTGTTTTGACTTATATGTATTTTGTACTAAAAGGGTTCTTAACCTTAACAAAAACATGTCAGGTTACTTACTTATATTTACTTTCCCTGTACACTGTCAGTGTTACATGCCACATGCAGTTACTTACCTGCACACTGCCAGTTTTACTTACTGTTACACTGCCAGGTTACTTACCTGTACACTGCAGTGTTACTTACCTGTACATGCCAGTGTTACTTACCTGTACACTGCCAGTGTTACTTACCTGACACTGCCAGTGTTACTTACATGTACACTGCCAGTGTTACTTACCTGTACACTGCCAGTGTTACTTACCTGTACACTGCCAGTGTTACTTACCTGTACACTGCCAGTGTTACTTACTGTACACTGCCAGTGTTACTTACCTGTACACTGCCAGTGTTACTTACCTGTACACTGCCAGTGTTACTTATCTGTACTTACATGTACACTGCCAGTGTTACTTACCTGTACACTGTCAGTGTTACTTACCTGTACACTGCCAGTGTTACTTACATGCACACTGCCAGTGTTACTTACCTGTACACTGCCAGCGTTACTTACCTGTACACTGCCAGTGTTACTTACCTGCACATTGCCAGTGTTACTTACCTGTACACTGCCAGTGTTACATGCACACTGCCAGTGTTACTTACCTGTACACTGCCAGCGTTACTTACCTGTACACTGCCAGTGTTACTTACCTGTACTTACATGTACACTGCCAGTGTTACTTACCTGTACACTGCCAGCGTTACTTACCTGTACTTACATGTACACTGCCACAGTGTTACTTACCTGTACACTGCACAGTGTTATACTTACCAGTGTTACTTACCTGTACACTGCCAGTGTTACTTACCTGTACACTGCCAGTGTTACTTACCTGTACTTACATGTACACTGCCAGTGTTACTTACCTGTACACTGCCAGCGTTACTTACCTGTACACTGCCAGTGTTAATGACACTCCAGTGTTACTTCTGTACACTGCCAGTGTTACTTACCTGTACACTGCAGTGTTATTACCTGTACTTACATGTACACTGCCAGTGTTACTTACCTGTACACTGCCAGCGTTACTTACCTGTTACACTGCCAGTGTTACTTACCTGACACTGCGGTTACTCGTACATGTTTACTACATGCCAGTGTTACTTACCTGTACACTGCCAGCGTTACTTACCTGTACACTGCCAGCGTTACTTACCTGTACTTACATGTACACTGCCAGTGTTACTTACCTGTACACTGCCAGCGTTACTTACCTGTACTTACATGTACACTGCCAGTGTTACTTACCTGTACACTGCAGTTACTTACTGTATTACATGACACTGCCAGTGTTACTTACCTGTACACTGCCAGCGTTACTTACCTGTACTTACATGTACACTGCCAGTGTTACTTACCTGTACACTGCCAGCGTTACTTACCTGTACACTGCCAGTGTTACTTACCTGTACTTACATGTACACTGCCAGTGTTACTTACCTGTACACTGTCAGTGTTACTTATCTGTACTTACATGCACACTGCCAGTGTTACTTACCTGTACACTAGCAGTGTTACTTATCTGTGCTTACATGCACACTGCCAGTGTTACTTACCTGTACACTGCCAGTGTTACTTACCTGTACTTACATGTACACTGCCAGTGTTACTTATCTGTACTTACATGTACACTGCCAGTGTTACTTACCTGTACTTACATGTACACTGCCAGTGTTACTTATCTGTACTTACATGTACACTGCCAGTGTTACTTACCTGTACTTACATGTACACTGCCAGTGTTACTTACCTGTACACTGCCAATGTTACTTACCTGTACTTACATGTACACTGCCAGTGTTACTTACCTGTACACTGCCAGTGTTACTTACCTGTACTTACATGTACACTGCCAGTGTTACTTACCTGTACTTACATGTACACTGCCAGTGTTACTTACCTGTACTTACATGTACACTGCCAGTGTTACTTACCTGTACTTACATGCACACTGCCAGTGTTACTTACCTGCACACTAGCAGTGTTACTTACCTGTACTTACCTGTACACTGTCAGTATTACTTACCTGTACACTGCCAGTGTTACTTACCTGTACACTGCCAGCGTTACTTACCTGTACACTGCCAGTGTTACTTACCTGTACTTACATGTACACTGCCAGTGTTACTTACCTGTACACTGCCAGTGTTACTTATCTGTACTTACATGTACACTGCCTGTGTTACTTACCTGTACACTGTCAGTGTTACTTACCTGTATACTGCCAGTGTTACTTACCTGTACACTGCCAGTATTACTTACCTGTACACTGCCAGTATTACTTACCTGCACACTGCCAGTGTTACTTACCTGTACACTGCCAGTTTTACCTGTACACTGCCAGTGTTACTTACCTGTACACTGCTAGTGTTACTTACCTGTACACTGCCAGTGTTACTTACATGTACACTGCCAGTGTTACCTGCACACTGCCAGTGTTACTTACCTGTACACTGCCAGTATTACTTACCTGTACACTGCCAGTGTTACTTACCTGTACACTGCCAGTGTTACCTGTACACTGCCAGTGTTACTTACCTGTACACTGCCAGTGTTACTTACCTGTACACTGCTAGTGTTACTTACCTGTACACTGCCAGTGTTACTTACCTGTACACTGCTAGTGTTACTTACCTGTACACTGCCAGTGTTACTTACCTGTACACTGCCAGTGTTGCCTGTACACTACCAGTGTTACTTACCTGTACACTGCCTTGACATAGTGTGAGTCGCTATTATCCTGAGCATTTATGTTACACCCCATAGCAGTCTCTGTAAGACAAAAAACAACAGTCTAAGACAGTAAACGTAAGTTACATGTGAACACTGTTTAACAAGTCCCAGATGAACCTTAAGTGGCTTTGTGTCGTCGATCTATTTACCACCGGGGTACCACCTGTGGTGGCCAGAGCAGACACTGTTACCACCTGTGGTGGCCAGAGCAGGTACTGTTACCACCTGTGGTGGCCAGAGCAGTCACTGTTACCAGCTGTGGTGACCAGAGCAGACACTCTTACCACCTGTGGTGACCAGAGCAGACACTGTTACCACCTGTGGTGACCAGAGCAGACACTGTTACCACCTGTGGTGGCCAGAGCAGACACTGTTACCACCTGTGGCGGCCAGAGCAGACACTGTTACCACCTGTGGTAGCCAGAGCAGACACTGTTACCACCTGTGGTGACCAGAGCAGACACTGTTACCGCCTGTGGTAGCCAGAGCAGACACTGTTACCACCTGTGGTGACCTGAGCAGACACTGTTGCCACCTGTGGTGACCAGAGCAGACACTGTTACAACCTGTGGTGGCCAGAGCAGACACTGTTACCACCTGTGGTGCAGAGCAGACACTGTTCAACAACCTGTGGTGGCCAGAGCAGACACTGTTACCACCTGTGGTGCAGAGCAGACACTGTTACCACCTGTGGTGGCCAGAGCAGACACTGTTACCACCTGTGGTGCAGAGCAGACACTGTTACCACCTGTGGTGGCCAGAGCAGACACTGTTACCACCTGTGGTGCAGAGCAGACACTGTTACCACCTGTGATGGCCAGAGCAGACACTGTTACCACCTGTGGTGACCAGAGCAGACACTGTTACACCTGTGTGCAGAGCAGACACTGTTACCACCTGTGGTGACCAGAGCAGACACTGTTACCACCTGTGGTGCAGAGCAGACACTGTTACCACCTGTGGTGGCCAGAGCAGACACTGTTATCACCTATGGTGCAGAGCAGACACTGTTACCACCTGTGGTGGCCAGAGCTGACACTGTTACCCCCTGTGGTGACCAGAGCAGACACTGATACCACCTGTAGTGGCCAGAGCAGACACTGTTACCACCTGTGGTGACCAGAGCAGACACTGATACCACCTGTAGTGGCCAGAGTAGACACTGATACCACCTCCGGTGGCCAGAGCAGACACTGTTACCACCTGCGGTGGCCAGAGCAGACGCTGGTACCACCTGTGGTGGCCAGAGCAGACACTGTTACCACCTGTGATGGCCAGAGCAGACACTGTTACCACCTGTGGTGACCAGACCAGACGCTGGTACCACCTGTGGTGGCCAGAGCAGACACTGTTACCACCTGCGATAGCCAAAGCAGACACTATTACCACCTGCGGTGACCAGAGCAGACACTGTTACCACATGTGGTGGCCAGAGTAGACACTGTTACCACCTGTGGTGGCCAGTGCAGACGCTGGTACCACCTGTAGTGGCCAGAGCAGACGCTGGACCACCTGCGGTGACCAGAGCAGACACTGTTACCACCTGTTGTGGCCAGAGCAGACGCTGGTACCACCTGTAGTGGCCAGAGCAGACACTGTTACCACCTGTGGTGCAGAGCAGACACTGTTACCACCTGTGGTGACCAGAGCAGACACTGTTACCACCTGTGGTGCAGAGCAGACACTGTTACCACCTGTGGTGGCCAGAGCAGACACTGTTACCACCTGTGGTGACCAGAGCACTGTTACCACCTGTGGTGCAGAGCAGTCACTGTTACCACCTGTGGTGACCAGAGCAGACACTGTTACCACTGTGGTGCAGAGCAGACGCAGTTACCACCTGTGGTGGCCAGAGCAGACACTGTTATCACCTATGGTGCAGAGCAGACACTGTTACCACCTGTGGTGGCCAGAGCTGACACTGTTACCACCTGTCGTGACCAGAGCAGACACTGATACCACCTGTAGTGGCCAGAGCAGACACTGTTACCACCTATGGTGACCAGAGCAGACACTGATACCACCTGTAGTGGCCGGAGCAGACACTGATGCCACCTCCGGTTGCCAGAGCAGACACTGTTACCACCTACGGTGGCCAGAGCAGACGCTGGTACAACCTGTGGTGGCCAGAGCAGACACTGTTACCACCTGTGATGGCCAGAGCAGACACTGTTACCACCTGTGGTGACCAGAGCAGACACTGTTACCACATGTGGTGGCCAGAGTAGACACTGTTACCACCTGTGGTGGCCAGAGCAGACGCTGGTACCACCTGTAGTGGCCAGAGCAGACGCTGGACCACCTGCGGTGACCAGAGCAGACACTGTTACCACCTGTTGTGGCCAGGGCAGACGCTGGTACCACCTGTAGTGGCCAGAGCAGACACTGTTACCACCTGTGGTGCAGAGCAGACACTGTTACCACCTGTGGTGACCAGAGCAGACACTGATACCACCTGTGGTGCAGAGCAGACACTGTTACCACCTGTGGTGACCAGAGCAGACACTGTTACCACCTGTGGTGCAGAACAGACACTGTTACCACCTGTGGTGGCCAGAGCAGACACTGTTACCACCTGTGGTGACCAGAGCAGACACTGTTACCACCTGTGGTGCAGAGCAGTCACTGTTACCACCTGTGGTGACCAGAGCAGACACTGACTCCACCTGTGGTGCAGAGCAGACACTGTTACCACCTGTGGTGACCAGAGCAGACACTGTTACCACCTGTGGTGCAGAGAAGACACTGTTACCACCTGTGGTGGCCAGAGCAGACACTGTTATCACCTATGGTGCAGAGCAGACACTGTTACCACCTGTGGTGGCCAGAGCTGACACTGTTACCACCTGTGGTGACCAGAGCAGACCCTGATACCACCTGTAGTGGCCGGAGCAGACACTGAGACCACCTCCGGTTGCCAGAGCAGACACTGTTACCACCTGCGGTGGCCAGAGCAGACGCTGGTACCACCTGTGTTGGCCAGAGCAGACACTGTTACCACCTGTGGTGACCAGACCAGACACTGGTACCACCTGTTGTGGCCAGAGCAGACACTGTTACCACCTGCGATTGCCAAAGCAGACACTATTACCACCTGCGGTGACCAGAGCAGACACTGTTACCACTTGTGGTGGCCAGAGTAGACACTGTTACCACCTGTGGTGGCCAGAGCAGACGCTGGTACCACCTGTAGTGGCCAGAGCAGACGCTGGTACCACCAGTAGTTGCCAGAGCAGACGCTGGTACCACCTGTAGTGGCCAGAGCAGACGCTGGTACCACCTGTAGTGGCCAGAGCAGACGCTGGTACCATCCGTAGTGGCCAGAGCATACGCTGGACCACCTGCGGTGGCCAGAGCAGACACTGTTACCACCTGTTGTGGCCAGAGCAGACGCTGGTACCACCTGTAGTGGCCAGAGCATACGCTGGACCACCTGCGGTGGCCAGAGCAGACACTGGTACCATCTGTGGTGGCCAGAGCAGACGTCGGTACCACCTGTGGTGGCCAGAGCAGACACTGGTACCACCTGTAGTGGCCAGATCAGACGCTGGACCACCTTCGGTGACCAGAGCAGACACTGTTACCACCTGTTGTGGCCAGAGCAGACGCTGGTACCACCTGTAGTGGCCAGAGCAGACACTGTTACCACCTGTTGTGGCCAGAGCAGACGCTGGTACCACCTGTAGTGGCCAGAGCAGACACTGATACCTACTGAGATGGCAAAATTCCGTTCAAGTAGAAGTTAGTTCGTATAACTATTTAAATATATTAAAAATTATTACTTTTCAAAAGAAGGTTAACTTCATAACTTGATACTGTATATTCACTAAACTTGTTTGTTATATCGTTAACTGGATCCGGTGGTAGAAAATATAGGTTCTCTTATGCAGGATACTGCATTGTTGTAATATATAAAACGTGTAGAAATGTTTAATATATAGTGTCAGTGGACGAGGATTGAATGGCCAGTTAGAGTGTACAGGCGACTGAGAGAGAGAAGTGTGTGAGGCAGTGATGAGGGAGCACTTGCTGGAAGACTGAGAGAGAGAAGTGTGTGAGGCAGTGATGAGGGAGCACTTGCTGGAAGACTGAGAGAGAGAAGTGTGTGAGGCAGTGATAAGGGAGCACTTGCTGGAAGACTGAGAGAGAGAAGTGCGTGAGGCAGTGATGAGGGAGCACTTGCTGGAAGACTGAGAGAGAGAAGTGTGTGAGGCAGTGATGAGGGAGCACTTGCTGGAAGACTGAGAGAGAGAAGTGTGTGAGGCAGTGAGGAGGGAGCACTTGCTGGAAGACTGAGAGAGAGAAGTGTGTGAGGCAGTGATGAGGGAGCACTTGCTGGAAGACTGAGAGAGAGAAGTGTGTGAGGCAGTGATGAGGGAGCACTTGCTGGAAGACTGAGAGAGAGAAGTGTGTGAGGCAGTGATGAGGGAGCACTTGCTGGAAGACTGAGAGAGAGAAGTGTGTGAGGCAGTGATGAGGGAGCATTTGCTGGAAGACTGAGAGAGAGAAGTGTGTGAGGCAGTGATGAGGGAACACTTGCTGGAAGACTGAGAGAGAGAGAGGTGTGTGAGGCAGTGATGAGGGAGCACTTGCTGGAAGACTGAGAGAGAGAGTTGTGTGAGGCAGTGATGAGGGAGCACTTGCTGGAAGACTGAGAGAGAGAAGTGTGTGAGGCAGTGATGAGGGAGCACTTGCTGGAAGACTGAGAGAGAGAAGTGTGTGAGGCAGTGATGAGGGAGCACTTGCTGGAAGACTGAGAGAGAGAAGTGTGTGAGGCAGTGATGAGGGAGCACTTGCTGGAAGACTGAGAGAGAGAAGTGTGTGAGGCAGTGATGAGGGGGCACTTGCTGGAAGACTGAGAGAGAGGTGTGTGAGGCAGTGATGAGGGAGCACTTGCTGGAAGACTGAGAGAGAGAAGTGTGTGAGGCAGTGATGAGGGAGCACTTGCTGGAAGACTGAGAGAGAGAAGTGTGTGAGGCAGTGATGAGGGAGCACTTGCTGGAAGACTGAGAGAGAGAAGTGTGTGAGGCAGTGATGAGGGAGCACTTGCTGGAAGACTGAGAGAGAGAAGTGTGTGAGGCAGTGATGAGGGAGCACTTGCTGGAAGACTGAGAGAGAGAAGTGTGTGAGGCAGTGATGAGGGAGCACTTGCTGGAAGACTGAGAGAGAGAAGTGTGTGAGGCAGTGATGAGGGAGCACTTGCTGGAAGACTGAGAGAGAGAAGTGTGTGAGGCAGTGATGAGGGAGCACTTGCTGGAAGACTTAGAGAGAGAAGTGTGTGAGGCAGTGATGAGGGAGCACTTGCTGGAAGACTGAGAGAGAGAAGTGTGTGAGGCAGTGATGAGGGAGCACTTGCTGGAAGACTGAGAGAGAGAAGTGTGTGAGGCAGTGATGAGGGAGCACTTGCTGGAAGACTGAGAGAGAGAAGTGTGTGAGGCAGTGATGATGGAGCACTTGCTGGAAGACTGAGAGAGAGAAGTGTGTGAGGCAGTGATGAGGGAGCACTTGCTGGAAGACTAGAGAGAGAGAAGTGTGTGAGGCAGTGATGAGGTAGCACTTGCTGGAAGACTGAGAGAGAGAAGTGTGTGAGGCAGTGATGAGGGAGCACTTGCTGGAAGACTGAGAGAGAGAAGTGTGTGCGGCAGTGATGAGGGAGCACTTGCTGGAAGACTGAGAGAGAGAAGTGTGTGAGGCAGTGATGAGGGAGCACTTGCTGGAAGACTGAGAGAGAGAAGTGTGTGAGGCAGTGATGAGGGAGCACTTGCTGGAAGACTGAGAGAGAGAGAAGTGTGTGAGGCAGTGATGAGGGAGCACTTGCTGGAAGACTGAGAGAGAGAAGTGTTTTGAGGCAGTGATGAGGGAGCACTTGCTGGAAGACTGAGAGAGAGAAGTGTGTGAGGCAGTGATGAGGGAGCACTTGCTGGAAGACTGAGAGAGAGAAGTGTGTGAGGCAGTGATGAGGGAGCACTTGCTGGAAGACTGAGAGAGAGAAGTGTGTGAGGCAGTGATGAGGGAGCACTTGCTGGAAGACTGAGAGAGAGAAGTGTGTGAGGCAGTGATGAGGGAGCACTTGCTGGAAGACTGAGAGAGAGAAGTGTGTGAGGAAGTGATGAGGGAGCACTTGCTGGAAGACTGAGAGAGAGAAGTGTGTGAGAAAGTGATGAGGGAGCACTTGCTGGAAGACTGAGAGAGAGAAGTGTGTGAGGCAGTGATGAGGGAGCACTTGCTGGAAGACTGAGAGAGAGAAGTGTGTGAGACAGTGATGAGGGAGCACTTGCTGGAAGACTGAGAGAGAGAAAATGTGTGAGGCAGTGATGAGGGAGCACTTGCTGGAAGACTGAGAGAGAGAAGTGTGTGAGGCAGTGATGAGGTAGCACTTGCTGGAAGACTGAGAGAGAGGGAAATGTGTGAGGCAGTGATGAGGGGAGCACTTGCTGGAAGACTGAGAGAGAGAAGTGTGTGCGGCAGTGATGAGGGAGCACTTGCTGGAAGACTGAGAGAGAGAAGTGTGTGAGGCAGTGATGAGGGAGCACTTGCTGGAAGACTGAGAGAGAGAAGTGTGTGAGGCAGTGATGAGGGAGCACTTGCTGGGAAGACTGAGAGAGAGAAGTGTGTGAGACAGTGATGAGGGAGCACTTGCTGGAAGACTGAGAGAGTAGAAGTGTGTGAGGCAGTGATGAGGGAGCACTTGCTGGAAGACTGAGGAGAGAAGTGTTGTGAGGCAGTGATGAGGGAGCACTTGCTGGAAGACTGAGAGAGAGAAGTGTGTGAGGCAGTGATGAGGGAGCACTTGCTGGAAGATAGTGTCAATCTGTTTGGTTAAATAGTGAATGATGTTTTGTGTAATGTTTAGGCCATATTTTTTCGGTGATTTTGTTTGTACTCTTACGGTACTGGAATTACCTGTTTAAGAAATAGCAGTGTCATTCTGCCTGCAGACTAAAGGCCGGCAGAACGGTCGGGTCATGGAGACTCAATGTTTTAATACTGCCTAACATTTAAAAACTAGTACATTGTACTAGTGTATGATTCGTGAAATGTGGACAAGGCAGACTTTGTTTTATATATACGTATGTTGTTACTGTCCTCCCTGGTAATCAACCCTAAAATATTGTGAATTTTTTTAATATCTTAATGCCCCTAGGCGAAGTTTTAACCCCTAGGGCCAGTAAAATTACGTAATATCAGGTCCAAGTCTGGGAAATTTTTCAAATTTAATATAATTCAATTGTGAAATCTGGAAAATCAAAGATTATTTTTTAACTTATAACACAAGGTTAATTCAAAGAAGGATTTAATATAAAATAGTGATTGCAAATAATAATTTATATTTTTTCAGGGGTAATTAATAAAGAATTATTTTCTATCTAATTTTCGTGTGTGCAAATCTGATTAATTTTTAGTTATTCTCTATCTATTTTAATAATTTTGTCTAACAAATTTTTTTTTTCCCATTGCTTTAATGTGATTTATTTTACATAATTAATTTCTGCTGTACTAATAAGCATGTGTTTGTTTCTACTAATTTCCATAATGTCTGGAAGCAGTAGAGATTCTAGTACTAACAAGAGTATTGGAGAAGACCCTGGATCAGTTCCCACTGCTAATAACGAAAGTAATGAAGCAGAGATTTTTTTGGTTAAAATTAGCTCTAATTAAGGAAGAACAAGATCTGAGAACGATTGAACATACAGAGATCCGGGAGGAAAAAGAGTTGGAAATGATTAAGGCTGAAGAAAAAGACAGAGACAATTTGTTTATCAGTAGGAAACAGAAAGAGGTGCAAAAGTGTTTAATTTGGTTGAAGTTGTAAAGTTTGTTTAGAATCTTTAGATAAAGACCCAGACAATTTTGTCTCGTTATTTGAGAAAACTGTTACGTCACAGTAAATGGGTGATATTAGCTAGAACCCAGTTAACTGGTAAATGGTTACAAGCAGTTACTTCCCCAAATGAGCATGAATTTTCACATTATGAATGATGTAGTTTTGTTAGCTTATCAGATATTGCCAGAAGTTTAGAATATGGAAAAGAGACGATGTCGCTGCTGACGAAATACTGCCGCTCCAAATGTGTGGCTGGTGGTTATATTGCTAGATGATCATTTGAACAGTGAATATCTTGAGGAGAAAGATTTTATTAATTTTATCATTGCTTTAGAACTGGATTATAGGTTTTTAGCCAACCAAAAATTTGGAAGCAGTTGTCACCAAGAACATCTTAATAATAATTTTCCTCCACCAACCAGAGTACGAAATTTCACAGATTTAAGCTATTTATTTTCCAGCATCATAATCACAAGAGTTTTCAGCTTACTTACCACCATAATTCTGGTTCCCAGAGTTTTAATATAAGATAATGTGCTCTTGATATAATATTAAAGGTTCTGAGACAAGGAAAAGTCCACAGCATCGCTGAAATAAATCTAATTGTTTTTCCAGCGCTGTCTAGCACCTCCTCTCTGCGTGCTTCCCATAATAATAATAATAATAATAATAATAATAATAATAATAATAATAATCCTATATAGAGCTGTATCTGCAGAATGCATTCATAAATACTAAGTTTGGTTTGAAATTCCTTTTCACAATAGACCCCAATTGATTTCGATGCTAATTACAATTACTACCAGTAATTTCATATAGGATTAAATATACTTTAAGAGCTTACCACAGATAATATCAAGGGTACAGAGCGTAACAAATGGGAAGATATCAAAAGGCTTGCCATCTGCCTTCTGCTGCAACTTCTGCACCATCTTGTTGCTCTGGTTGTTGAAAACCTCCACAAAATCCTCCAGAATCTTGAAGTGGAAGGCCGGGGTCAACAGCTTCCGGCGAGAGTGCCACTTGCTTCCTAAGGTAAACATCACCAGGAATATTAACAAAATGTTCCTAGAAATATACCTAATTTATTGAGTATTATGACACTATTTTTTTTTTTTTTAGATTTTGGTGCCGAATCGGCTAATTTATTGTGCTCCTTCACAGCCATCCTGTGGATGGTAGTGTGAGAGAAAATGCAGAGACACAAAAGGCCAAGAACCCAGAACCTAAAAGGTTTAAAAGGAGCACATCTCTCGATTTATATTTACTATTTCACTTGCGCACCGGCTTGCTAATTTTAGAACTGGTTCGCCATAGGTTTGAATCCCATCCTTTCTGTGAGATAAATTATCAAAATACTTAAATCAGATGGTTTCTATAGGTGACTGGCAGACTACTGCTTACATTCAGAATACATTTATATTTTCTTCGCCAGTGCATATTAAACGTTGTTATTTCTATAATATGTCTTTTTTTAAATGCTGGAGACCTGCTCTATCCAGATGTAAATGGACATTAGAACTCATATTAAATTTAATATACACTTAAAGATGCGGCTTTTACAAAGGACACACGAGTAAATACGAAGGGCAATACATAAGTCTATAACCAAGTTCAGGAGTAAATACGTGAGCTAGTACATGTGTAAATACGTAGGTAAGTACATGTGTAAATTTAGGATAACTATATGAGTAATTGCAAGAGTAAATGCATGGTTAAATATACGAGTTAAAGACTGAGTACATACTGGGCAAGAATATTAGCAAATACTTGGTGAGGACAACAACTGACCTGTGGAGGTGAGGAGACCAGTGCCGAGCCAGGGGTGCAGAAAGTTGTATTCACGACTTTTGTCCAGGTGTTTTTGACTGCTCAGGATCACCTGTGTACACAATCTAGTTAAACATTATATTAGTGACTTGTGCTATTTTTATTTTGCCAGTACTGTGCTTTATCTCTTTCGTGCCGAATTAGTAAAACTGGTCAATCAGCAAGAACTCTTAAAATTAAGTCCTTTCTAAAATTTTCTCTTATACGCTTAAAGATAGAGTTTTTTTTTCATTTATGTTAATGTAAAAATTAATAATTATTTTATCAAAAGAACCTTAGGAAACTTACCTAACCTTATTTTAACAAACGCAATTTAATATTGTCTAATACAGCTAAATATATTTTATATAAGTTTACAATAATTTAATAATGAACAAACACAATGAAATATATTTTTTCTCGTTAAATTCAAAATGATTTTTGCGAAAATCACATGTGATTTTTGCTCACATGTGATTTTCGCCCACCATTGAGGCGGGCCAAAACAACATGGGTTCGAATCCTTGGCTAGTCGCAGTGTTGTTATTGATAAAATACCACTCATTCGTGGTTACAATAATATATATAGACAGCAACCACCCAGGGAGGTACTACCGTCCTGCCAAGTGAGTGTAAAACGGAAGCCTGTAATTGTTTTGCATGATGGTAGGATTGCTGGTGTCTCTTTTTTCTGTCTCATACACATGCAAGATTTCAGGTACGTCTTGCTACTTCTACTTACACTTAGGTCACACACATGTGCAAGCATATATATACACACCCCTCTGGGTTTTCTTTTATTTTCTTTCTAGTTCTTGTTCTTGTTTATTTCCTCTTACCTCCATGGGGAAGTGGAACAGAATTCTTCCTCCGTAAGCCATGCGTGTTGTAAGAGGCGACTAAAATGCTGGGAGCAAGGGGCTAGTAACCCCTTCTCCTGTATATATTACTAATATAAAAGGAGAAACTTTCGTTTTTCTTTTTGGGCCACCCCGCCTTGGTCTGAGTTATATATATATATATATATAATATATATATATATATATATATATATATATATATATATATATATATATATATATATATATATATATATCTGTGTGTGTGTGTGAGTGTATCCACGACCGACTGCTTTTAAGCAATTGCAATACTGCGACTGGCCGAGAATCGAACCCATGATCCTTTAGCACTCCTTGCCAAAATTGATGGCCTCGGCCATCAATGCTTCACACATCAGGTGCCCAGTACTACTGGACATGTCACCTCTGATGCCAGCACAAACGTAGCCGTGAAAGCTGCAGGGCTATTAATATATCCACATATTAATTCATCCCATTCTCTAAATTTAGAATTATAATGAACTCTCAGTGTGTGTACGGTGCAGGGTACTGATGCTAATTCATTTCTCAAGACTAAGGTTGATCCCACAGTCACTAAGAACAACTGATATAGCTCCGTTCTACAAAGGTTAAAATAAAGCAATAACAAAGAGTTATATATTGAAAGCACTAAAGTCCCACATAATTATAAGGAGAAAGATTGCAAACCACTTTGATCCCCAATAATTACACAGTCGAAGGCATCGTGGGTTTATAGCAGGTCGCTTCTACCTCTCTCAACTACTAGACTACTATTATATGGTCATGAATGTACTGAGGGACAAACAGAAAGCATGTAGAGTACACAGACCGAGAAAGCTTGCAGTAAGTACGATCATTGGTAATACCACACAAAATGCTTGAGAAAGGAATAATGGTAAATGTTAGTATATCGATCTTTAAATTTTTACCCAAAAGAATATAAAGAGTAATAGTAAAGAGAGTTAAAACACAGGCGGCTACAGCGAAAAGCTCTGTTCCACAAGGCACAGTACTCACTCCCATCCCTATATCTGTCGTAGACAGAGATGTAAACCATAGAACTGTATCTTCCTATGCGGACGATACTAGAATTTTCATGAAATACTAGATACTAGAATTTGCAAGTCTTCAAGCGGATATAAACAAAGTTTTCAAATGGGGCACAGAAAATAATGAGTTCAATGAGGAAAATTTTCAGTTACATTGCTTTGGAAAACTTGAAGAAATAAAAGCTAGATCGAAGATTAAAACAATAATTCTAACCACACAACAGAACGGAAAATTAATGGCAACGACTTGGGAGTGATAATGTCAGAGGATCTAGATTTTAAAGACCACAACAATGGCATTATCACATCAACTAAGAAAATAATTGGATGGATAATGAGAACCTTTAAAACAAGGGATGCCAAGCCAATAATGAATTTATTTAAATCTTTTGTTATCTCTAAACTGGAATATTGCTGCACACTGACGACCCCTTTCAAGGCAGGCGAAACTGCAGATCTTGAGATTACACAGAAAACTTTCACTGCACGTATAAGTATAATCAAACACCTCAGTTACTGAGACAGTTTGGAAATCTCTTGACCTGTACTACTTGGAATGCAGGCGAGAAAGATGCTTCATAATTTACACCTGGAAAATCCTAAAGGGACTAGTCCCAAATCTGAGTATGGAAATCATTTCTCTTGGAAGCAAAAGACTCGGCAGGCTGTGTAACATTTCCCCACTGAAAAGCAGAGGTGCCGTGAGTACGCTAAGAGATAACGCAATAAGTGACACTGAAATGTGCCTAGCTCCCGGCCTGCAAACACAGCCTGGTTGATCAGGCCCTGATACACAGTGAGGCCTTTTTATGGACCGGCCGCTGGGGGTATTGACCCACGGAACACCCTCCATCCTACACTGGGACACCCTTCAGTGGGGCTCCCTATTGCAAGTTTTATCGTTACTCAGACTTACTATAACAATAAGAATACTTGCAAATGTAGAAACAGTAATATATGCAAAGAAATCCAAAGCTAACGTGAAATTCCACTATACGTTTAGCTGTGAACATGGTTTAGAAAGACACGTAAGCAAACACTATGACATATTTATTAGAAAACGTTTCGGTCCTGGGACCTTGATCACTTCTAATATACAGAGGTAGAAAGGCATTATATATATAGGCGGAGAGTGAGCGTCACACCTCACTCTCCGCCTATATATATAATGCCTTTCTACCTCTGTATGTTAGAAGTGATCAAGGTCCCAGGACCGAAACGTTTTCTAATAAATATGCCGGTCCATAAAAAGGCCTCACTGTGTATCAGGGCCTGATCAACCAGGCTGTGTTTGCTTACGTGTCTTTCTAAACCAACTAGTCGGTATTTATTACCAAGGTTTATACCAGCTGTGAACATATAGCTACCCAAGGTTTTAGCTTCTATTACCCAACTCGGAAGATTGTTCCACGCATCGAGAACTCTGTTTGAAAACCAGTAAGTGCATAAATCTTTTCTAAATTTAAATTTACAAGAACATAAGTAAGGAGGAACACTGCAGCAGGCCTACCCATCAATACTTGGCACTAAAAATTATTTGCCCAAACTGTTACCCAAGGAATAAGCTTTAGTAGCCCTAGTACCTCTGTGCAAGTCCCAATCAAATCTATCCCCTCACACTCGCACTTGTCTAACTTATATTTGATGCTATCCAAGCTTTCGGCTTCAATGACCTTACTGTTCCACTCATCGACTACTCCATTTCCAAACGAGTACTTCCCTAAATGCTTTCTAAATCAAAATTTATCCAATTTGAATTCATTATTTCGAGTTCCTTCCTGAACCTTATTTATATCTCCTTTATTTATACCCAATACACTGTATACACTTCACTCATGATTGAAGAAGCTACTCGTAGAGAACGTTTCCTTTAATATATGTCCTGAACTGCACATTCTACGTCTTAGAAGAGAATGTAGGTTAATGAATTGCAATCTCTCTTTGTATGGAAGACTCCTTTTGCAATGGATTAATTTTTCATGGCTCTTTGAAAGCTCTCGAGCGAGTTTTTATTATCCATTCTGAAGTATAGAGCTACATATTCTAAGTGAGGCCTTACTAATGATGTGTCGAGCTGTAGTATAACCTCTAAACGCCTGTTGCTTATACTTAGGAACATAAGAACATAAGAATGTAGGAACACTGCAGAAGGCCTACTGGCCCATACGAGGCAGGTCCTTATCAAAACGACATCTACCTAAAGCTACTCAAGAAATGACTCCCGTACCCCTTAACACCAATCAAACCCAGCCCCTCCCACTCATATATTTGTCCAGTCTCTTCTTAAAGCTACCCAAGGTCCTAGCCTCTATCACCCCACTGGGAAGACTGTTCCACGCATCTACAACTCTGTTAGAAAACCAGTACTTACCTATGTCCTTTCTAAATCTAAATTTATCCAACTTAAATCCATTATTCCTGGTTCTTACTTGGTTCGACAACCCTCAGTACTTATTAATGTCTCCCTTGTTTATGCCCGTCATCCACTTATACACTTCAATGATATCTCCCCTCATTCTAACGCCTCTCCAGAGAGTGGAGATTTAAGGCTTTAAGTCTATCTTCATACGGGAGGTTCCTTACACAGTAAATCATTTTAGTCATTCTTCTCTGTATGTTCTCTAATGAGTCTATGTCCATCCTGTAGTAAGGGGCCCAAAAAACTGAGCAGCATAATCTAAATGAGGCCTCACTAGTGATGTATAGAGCTGTAAAATAACTTTTGGACTTCTGTTACTTATACTTCTTGAGATAAATCCAAGTAATCTGTTGGCCTTGTTGCGCACACTAAGGCACTGCTGTCTTGGCTTTAGATTTCTGCTTACCATGACTCCCAAGTCTTTTTCACATTCTGTATGACCAAGCTCTACTTCACCTAGATTATAGCTTCGAGGGTTATTTTCATTACCAAGGCAAGTACCTTACACTTATCCACATTAACTTCATCTGCCATTTTTCAGACCAAGACATTAATTTGTTCAAATCGTCCTGGAGTTCATTGATATCCTCCTCAGAGTGAATAATACGGCTTATCTTTGTATCATCAGCAAACTTACTCATGTCACTAGTAATCCCTTCAAACAAGGTCATTAATGTAAATTATGAACAAGAGAGGGCCTAAAACTGATCCTTGTGGAACGCCACTAGTGACTAATCCCCATTCA